ACCGTAACGAACTTACTTTCCGAATTAAAGATCCGCTGTCAATTCTTCGATCGTGGTTGCGGACAGTTTGTTGAATTAGGAGATCTCGAAAGGCATGTTACTGACTGTGGGTTTGCCCCAGTAGTCTGCTCTAACGAAGGATGTCAACTTGAGGTGAATAAACAAGATTTATTACACCATGAAACAGCTGTGTGTGAACTACGCAGAGTCAAGTGCCACAATTGCAACGAAATCAGACAAGAGATGGATACAATGAAAGTTGATTTGGCAGCAATGAATGAAAAGTTGAAAGAAGTTGGGGAACAGTTCGACAGACACGAGAAACAGATGGACAGAAATCAGGAAAACGTCAAAACAGACTTTGGAAATGTGGTCGCAAAAGTTGAACTGGTTCAAGAACAACTCAACAAGCAGGAAGAATGCAATCGTCGGCTTGAAGCGGACAATGTAGAAATGAAGAGAAGTTTAAATGAAATTACGAAACAACTGGAGAGAATGACACAACAAACATCGCATGAAGTTCAGGCTGAAGAAATGAAGAGAGATATTGCAGAAGGTGGAGTGGACAGAGAGCCGAAGATCCTTATTGCTGGAGGCTTCAATGGGAGACAAAATACAAATTCAGTGGAAATGTTCAGTCTGTTAAACGTGACCTGCACACCACAAAAGCCAATGAAAAAATGTCGTAAGAGAGCATCTTCAGTTGTTTACAACAATCAAACTTTTGTCATGGGAGGTGTGGGTCGTAGTGGAACAGGAATCAAGTCAATTGAAAAACTATCACTGAATGCTGTTCAAGTTGATCAGTCCATCACTTGGGAAATCGTTCTTGTTGAGTTACCTGCACCATTGTATGGACAGTGCAGTGTAGTTTATAATGGCCAGTTGATAATGATTGGAGGTTTTGATGGTAGTAAAGGTGCAATTTCTGATAGTATTACTGAGATTTCCCTTGTCCCACCTCATACCAGTAAACTGTTGGCTACCATGCTACAGGCAAGATATCATCATGGTGTTGCAATGTTTGGTGACAAGATACGGATTCTTGGAGGTAGGGTCAATGGTTTTTCCAGAACAAATCTTGCAAGTGTTTTGTTGTATGATATTACTACGAATGAATGTGAAGAGTTAGCAGCCCTCCCCTACCCCGTGTCTGAAATGGCCACAGTCAAGCGGGGTGACGACAATGTGATCATAGCGGGTGGCGCTGACAGTAACGAGGAACCATTAAACAAAGTTTTATTATACAACATCAAGACGCAGAAGAGCTGTATGTTACCAGACATGAAGTATAAGAGGAGAGGATGTGTGGCTGCAGTTGTCAGAGACACTGTGATTGTCATGGGAGGCATGGATGAAAGAGGAAATTGCTTAAAGTCTGTAGAATGTTTTCAATTTGAAAGCTATAGCTGGCAAGAACTCCCTGAAATGCGGGAAGCGAGATACTGGGCTACTGCAGTTGTATGTTAATTATATGGGGAGGCCTAGCAATTGGAAATTCGTTGATGATGTTACTATATCTGAGGGATTATTAAGGAATGGGGAACCGTCTGTAATCCAGTCTGATTTAACTTCTATAGCTACATGGGCATCTAATAACCTGATGAAATTGAACGCAAAGAAATGCAAAGAGATGCAAATTTGTTTCTTTCGGAACAAACCTGAACTATCACACTTGTGTGTTGAAGACCAGATCTTAGAATGTGTATCGTCGCACAAGGTTCTTGGATTGATTATCCAGGATGACCTTAAGTGGAACGAACATATTTCGATGATTGTTACCAAAGCATCCAAGCGACTGCATATCCTACGTGTCCTACGACGGGGAGGGATTCCACCGCACGACCTTATCACAATTTATTATGCATTGATTAGATCTACATCAGAATATTGTTGTACAGTATGGCATTGTGGTCTACCTATGTATCTGTCTGAACAAGTCGAGAAAATTCAAAAACGAGCACTGAGGATTATACTGCCAGGTCGATCCTACGGTGAAGCGCAAGAAATGTTGCAGTGTCCTAGGCTGGATATACGTCGAGGTGAACTTTGCGAAAAGACGATAAAAAATATTGCATTGGGCAGTCGTCTTTCTTCCCATCTAACTCTCACCAGTGAAAACGAACATGTGTATAATTTAAGGAATTTTAAACAATTCGCTTCTTTTAAATGTAGAACTGTTAGATTTGGTAATAGTTTTTTCCCTAGCATGATTAGTGTTTTAAACAAATAATTGTTCTTAGTTATAAGTTCTTATTTAATAATCTAATGATACATTGTAATATAGTTACTTTTAGTATTGTAATTCCCATTCAAATCAATTGTAAAACACATTGTAATTCATTTTCATGCGATGATGTGTTATTAAAATACCATTATTATTATTATTATTATATATTGTATATATTGGCAACCTAATTAAGGTGTTGCAGCATTTTATACACTTTTGTACTTGGGATATGATCTTACTTTTATATAAATAAAGTTTTGTACCAATTTGACCAAGTTTAAAGAGAAAATTAATAAATATTTGTTGAAATTGTTGAATTTATGGTTGAATAAAGTAGGGTGCATTAGGGCACAGTGCGGCTCAATGGGAATTATGGGTTAATATTAAACCACTGAGTGGCACTGAGCTGTAATGTGCTCAAATGCACGCTATGCCCCGAGGGAAATTTCCACCGATGAGGGTATTAAAGTTTCGCCGAATCCCGCGAGCTGTGGGTCTACAAACGATATATTATACCGCAAATTAAAAGTCTCCGAGTTGAGAATATAAAACTTGCCACTTTTATTTTTCGATTAACGCAAATATTTATCACTTTTTTTCGAATCACATACCGTTTCGGTTTGGAATATTTTAAAACATTCTTCAAAATTTGTATATTTTGTCGGACATTCTTCAAAGTAATTAACAACAAACATACTGTTCGAATTTTGAAAATTTTAGGATTATAATAAAAAAACTGGCGTTTTCTTTGTAGATAAAAATACAGAAACAATTTCCCGCGGCTTGTTTCAAGATTTTTACCGGGCCACGAAGATTCCACGCGCGAGTCGCGAGGATGACGTCTGATCTGTATACATGTTTGAAACTGGACTGTAACTGTAGGGAGCCACCTTAAAATTAATAAAAAGGTAGCTAACTGTATAAACTAGAGAATAAAGGTAAAACACAGCAATTTTGAGAGGTACGTCAAAAAGATTTTCGATTTTGAACACTTTTCATCGCAAATACGCGACATTGTAAAACACGAAAATTTGTAGGACTACTACCAAACAAGGACAAAAGTTGACCTTGCAAACCAAGCATCTCAGGTCTCAAACAGTAAATCCGAATGCTTTTCGTTTAAATTTCTTTCCTCTATTGACTATTCGAAATATTTTGGATTTGCGTGAGTGCTAATTTAACGGCATTGTGTGAACACACGTTATAGCTCGAACGGGCAAACCGAGGCCGCTTGTGCACATTTTTGATGTTTCCAAACTAAGCCAAAATCAATCACTAGCGGGTTATTATGTTATGACATAACCATAGGTATAAATTACCCACTGCTAATTGGTTTTGGCTTAGTTTGAAAACATTAAAAATACGCAAAAGCGGCCTCGGTTTAATTGCCTGTTCGAGCAGTGGCTGCACTGCACAAGCCGGGGAACAAGCGATCGAAAAGTCATAGAGCTAAGTGTACGTTCTATCGCTGTTTAGTGACTGGTCGCTAAATAGAAGTGATTTCACATGTACCTCATGCTGTGAAGTGCTTAAGTTCCCATGGCCATGTCCCTAATAAACCATTTCCCAAATTGTCCAAATTATCAAATTATCCACTCAAAGTGCGGTGTCAGAGGAATGCCGAAAATTTAATTTAGCGCTGAGGCTTACCATGGTGAAATACCTTCCAAATCCAGCCACAAGAAGTACAATAGCAGGAATTAAAAACTGTGAAATGTAGAAAAAAGATTTAAATCAATGACGTGTTAAGGAATGATTTATACGAATTATAGGATGAATCCATATTGGAATGACCACCACAAAAGTACTTTGGTGTTCTGTTCAAATCTCTCGTGATTATATTGCGTTTAAAACATTCTAGAGTTTTATTCCAGAGAAAAAATTGATCTCAACACTTTTTTCAGTTATGGGGGAGGGTGCGACGTGGTCGTTTTCCAATGACAATGAAGGTCGATATATTGATCCTGTTTTAGGTTGAAACATCAAACAGAATGTGTCAATACGATTCCTGGGCGTGATAATTATTTTTCGCACGTCGAAACCCACGATCTAAAGCTATGTTTGCACAAAACGATTAATCGGGCTGATTTCAGGTTCTGCCGAATGTTAATAGATAGTTTAAGCTTCGCGTTATACGGCAAACGCCAGGCAAAGAAAAATTTTACGGTATCAGGCAATAAAGAGTAAATGAACTTGCCGTTTTAAAACTGAAATACATAATTATTCTTTCGACACAAGACAGAAAATATGAAACGAAAACGTTCAATCAAAATTTTGCCAAGAACGTTCGAACCTACCGTTTGCCGTTCCCGGAAACGTGAAGTTTAAATTCCCTATCAATGAATATTGCCAGTTGCATGACGATGTCGTCAGATCACGTTGACAGCGTATTTTTCAAATATATCGTTTCATTAAATCGGCCCAATTAATAATTTTGTGTAAACGTACTTTAATTCAACAAAATTACCCCCCTCCCGCTTTAAAGAAAACATTGCTCACGTCTTTGAATGTAGCTGAAAATTATTTTTGTTGCCCAAGAGACTTTTTCAACAAATCTGCGGTTCCTCTATCCGCCGTATGTCACTATCACAGTAATTCCAGTGCCTAAGTTACTAAACATGAAATGAAGAAATACAAAATATATTATGAGACTCACATAGATTGCCCAAAGTCCAATGCTCGCGACCCATTCATTAAGTTTACTCATCGCAAAAGCACCAGCAGCGATACACCCAAAAGTCAGTGACAAGAGCGCGAAGCCAATTCCAACGCTGGCGTGAGCCATTCCTCTTGACAGAGCCATCTTGGTGTAAAGTTATCGGCCGAAACTATACAAAACTGTAGTCTATAAACTTAGACACTCTTTTGGCCGCGTCTGCGTGGCAATGAATTATCATACCTTAAGAATAATCCTTACATTTCCTTGGCTTTGTTCGGTGTTTTGGTATGATACATAACTGATTATCACAGCATGCTTTTATAACTAGTCAAAGAATAGGTTAATTAAGTTTGGAATGTTTACTGTTTATTGTTGAGTAAAATGTAGTGTATATACAATTTATATCGCGATGTTTAATGCAGATTACAAACGGACTACAGTCACAAACATTTCGAGTTTTTCACTAAGAAAACAACTCAATACAATATGGTCTACAATAACTAACAAGACACCGGGTAGGCGTTTACTTTGGCGACTCACATGCCTCAAAGCATGATGGGGACAAAACTTGACAACACCAGCAGCAGAGAAAAAAAAACGAAGCGAATTTATGACTTGGTCGCCTGACTCGCCCAGTCAGATTAGCGAGTTGAAGCAATCGACGTTTTGTCAACACGAACGTGATCGGCCGAAAATTGGTATAACATTTTCCATCACAGTGCCCGTATAAGGAAGCAAAAATCTTTAAAAATCTTTTGTCATATGTGTTGAAGATTACCACAAACGGACACATAGTTTTTAATCCAATCCTCCGCCCC